CCTCATTCTGAAAACGAAATATAGGCCATCATAATTCATCTACAATGGAGTGATTCTTAATTCCAAAGATCAATTTCACTTACTCGGCAAAATAATTTATAGAACCAATCTCTCGGATAATACATGAAGAGAAGGGCTTTTAATTGCTGCCGATTCCAGTATTCCTTGCAGAATACTGAATCTCATTAATCTTCCTCACTCTGAAAATGGCATCATAATTCATCAACAATGGAATCTTTCTTAATTCCGAATGTCAGTTTCACTTATTCAGCAAACTAACTAATTTATAGAACCAATCGCTCGGATAATACACAAAGAGAAGGGCTTTTAATTGTTACTGATTCCAGTATTCCTTGCAGAGTTCTCAATCTCTTTAATCTTCCTCACTCTGAAAACGAATGGCTGGGTGTAATTTATCATCAAATTTCTTCCACTTGCATCAGTATATGTGCGATTTCCATTCTCACCATCTCACTCTTGATCAACCTCTACCAATAACAGTACCGACATTTTGATCAATTGGGTCGTCATTAAATACTCTAAACGCCAGCTTTCTAAGTCACATTACCCCATTGTCTTCATCTCTTCTCGATTTCTCTATTGTCAGTGTTGATATTTACCCGCATTTGTTTTTCTTCATTCATACAGAGCAGTGACATTTTGACAGTGATCATTTACCGATCCAATTATCCTTTCCTCATAATAAAATCCAAAACAGTTGTAAACAGATCATTATGTGGCCTAAAGTGGTTTCTTTTCTTCAGAAGCGACAGAGCGTCACACACGCACATTCGAATCTTACTCAAACCTACAATCTTTCCTGTCACATACTCTTCATAATAATAAGAAAAACTACAGTATTTCTCAACAGACGGCAACGCTTCTTTCGTGAAATACACAGCGCAATAAACTTGTACATCAGGAAAAAGATGGCTTTTATATCAAGCGAACACTCAACTTTCTTGCTATCATTAGATCTCCTACAAAAACATTTCTGCCGTGTTTCGCCGTTATGATTTCAAAACTATAAAAATTGGAATTGGAAAAATGAAAAAATTGGGGAATTTAGTTAGCGCTTCTACTGGCTATAATGGAAAAATTTATAAAATCTATTTATAACAAGAATAATCTCGTCAGCAGCAAAATCATTTATCATCATCATTGGTACAACAGCCCAATGTGAGCCAAGGTCTTCTACCTACTAGTACCTTTTGAGACGAGAGATGTTTTTCTTTTTACGGAGTAGGGTTGTCAGATCTACGCTCAACAGTCATATGTGACCGGGACCTACGGCTTAAATTGGATTCCGAATCACTACAAACATCCATGGCACCACAGGGACACGAACCCGAAACATGTGGTACTGAGCGCCAGAGCGCTAGACACTCGGTCATTCAGGCCCCAAACTCATTTATACTAACAATAATTTGGTCATCACGATGCGATTCAACTAATCTTTTGGCATCCATTTCAATAAATCCTTTAACCAGCAATTTATTCCTTTTGATCTTTTAGACGATTTTTCTCACGGTTATTGTTCTGTTGACGTAACTAATAAATCCTACCGCCAGCAAAAACGTCATAAAAGTAGAACTCTTTTCCCATTCGTTAATTCTTACCCCTTCTAATGTCGATTTTAAATGAAAGCTGAGAATTGGCTTATTCATATTTGGCTATTTTTTCGGGATCACTAACTCAAAACAAAGGAGATATCTCTTTTTTCGCACAGTTTGGCGCAGAAATTCGAAATTTCCCAGTTTTGTAACAGAATGCAGTAAGAGATGAATTTTGGCGTAGATTTTCCACCTCTTTATACCTGGTAGACGCGTTTGTGTTTAATAAAGCTATACTCAGGATCCTTTAATTAATTTCTTTTGATACTTAACAAAATTTCTTTTGGGTGTTCATCTCTGTTAATGTATATTTTGTATAAACATTTATGCTCTTCTGTAATTTACCAATGCAGCTTTAGCCGTTCATCCTTTTGATATTTGTGTTTTTCTAATGATTTTCAATTTCGCAGTTGTAGCTTAAGAGAAGAAAAAATTCGTTCTTTATTTCTTTTTTGTTTTCGAAGGATCTAAAAACACTCCAGGATTTTGTATAGCGAATGTTATTATGGTTTTGTTATACAATTTGACTAAGTTTCTGCGAAGCACTTGATAGTTATGTGTTGTGAATAGTGCTGTGGTTTTTGTTATGCAAAATTTGTCTTGTTTCTAGTTCACATCTTATTTGTTTTCCTTTGATTCTTGTATGGATATATTGTGTTCATTATATATAATATGCATATCCTTCAAAAGTACTTGATCTATACGATGTCTCTGAAATTTTCAATAGAATATGTTTGTTCTAAATTTCTATGCCAATGAATTTGTTTTACAGTGGCACTTTCAAAATTTCTACGGTGCTAGACTAATAAGTTTGCATCTTAATATATTTGAAAATATTATTTTATTCAGAAAGAAACGGGACAATTTTCAGCACTTATTTTTTTAAAAATATGTACGGAATTGAATATCTTCAGTATCTTTAAAAACTAATTTAATAAAATTAATAAATTTTTTTTATAAAACTAATTAAATTAAATTATTTAAACTAATTTAATTGAACTCTTTATAATGTATTTTTTATTTCTTCTTAAAATAGATTTGCACTTAAGAAATATTATTGAGATAATACTACTGTGCCCCAAAAGTAAGACCAATTATTTTTTTTTTTCAAAAACTCTTTATTTATTTTCCAAATTTATTTCATCGCCTTCAAAGTAATCCCCTCCGGACACGATGCACTTATGCCAACTTTTTTTCCAGTCCTCAATGCATGCTAAAAAGTCATCGGCAGGGATGGCCTTCAAAGCACGCGGCGATTCATGTTGAATCTCTTCAATCGACTCAGAACGGTGTCCCCAGAGTGGTCTTTTGAGTTTAGGGAGTTATCAGAAGTCACACAGTGTGAATACGTTGGTTGTGGAACGATATGGATTTCATTTTTGGCGAAAAAGTCACGAAGAATCAATGCAGTGTGAGCTGGCGTATTCAGTGTTTTCGGTACCGATCGAGATTTGATGCGTTTGAGGCCCAAAATGGAATTGACCGATCCTTTTGAAATTCCAACATCATCAGCAAGATCTCTAATTGTAAATCGACGGTTTGCAATCACCAAATCTTTAATTTTTTGGACGTGTGCTTCGTTGGTTGAGGTTGATGGTCGATCTCAGAGATCTTTGTCTTTAACGCGTTCTCTGTTTTCTTTGAACTGTTTATAGCACTTCTAAACATTTCTTTCCAATTTAGGAATGCTCATCGAATGCCTTTGCAACATTCTATACGTTTCCTCAAACAAAATTTAATGCATGTTCTTTGCTCAATTAATTCAGACATTTCAAAAATCGTCGGAATTAGTTTTAGCGCCTCACAAAGCCAAGCGTAATTCAAACACTAATGAATATTTTGACGTCAAATTTCACACAGATGTCAAGATCAGTGCCAGCAACACAAAAAGAAAAGCAATTTTAATTCCATAATCCCCATTAATTTTAAATTTAAAATTGGTAACAGTAGTAATTTAAAATTCCAATTACCACGATAATAGTAATAAAATAAAGCAGAGAACAGATACATATTTAAATATTATTGCTTATAAATATTTCATAGAGTACTCAACATAAATAATATCATTTTAAACAACCAGGAAAAATATATAGTATTCCTTTACTTTAATGGTTATCCCGTTGACAATGAATATGATATAATTAAAGTTAAAAAAAAAAAAAAAAAAACAAGGACATACTAATATTATCCTTTACCATAATGAATAGTCATTCTGACATTTTAACTGTTAATATTTAGTTGAATAGAAAATAAATATTTCCTTGAGAACAATATAGAATTTTAAATATCGATTTAGAAACATTTGCATTCAAATTCGATCAGATGAGAAAAATTATATCCAACTGAATAGAAATTATGATTAGACAATAATAAAAACGCATAATTATTTTCTTAAATAAGTTTCAATTTAAATTTTAAATTTCAGGGGAAAAAGCAATTTAACAATTTTTGTTATTTTTAAATGAATGCATCCTACGTAAGAACAAATAAAAAATTTTAGTTTAATTACAGAAAATAGTATATTATTAATAAACTAACAGAACCTGGCATACGCTGTCTTGTCAAAAAAAAATGTATTGTAGAAAATTGCATATCGCGAATATATTCTCCACGTTCCAATTTCCGTTTGCGGGCATAGTGGCCGAGTGTCTAGCGCTCGGTACCACAGGTTTTCGGGTTCGAGTACCGGCGGTGCCCTGGATGCTTGTAGTGGTTCGGAATCCACTTTAAACTGTAGGTCCCGGTCTGTTTAGCCTAACATGTGCACAAGATGACCGTAGAGCGACAAACCAAACCAAACCAATATCCGTTTGAACGGTATATAAGATGAAATGCTGCAGCACCATCTGGTGGCAATTAACAATAAAGTGGATAGAGCGAACCTATTTTCCATACTCGAATACGTATTATTACCAATTTTCAGAGCGATTGGTTACACGGTATAGAAGTTGATAGACTGCAGCGTCATCTGATGGCGACTTACAACAAAGGAAATAGCATAAAATCATTCTCCATGTTTGGTCAAACACACACAAAAAATTTCATCAAAATCGATCAAGTCGTTTAGGAGGAGTTCAGTGGCTAACACATGTTCAGAAGAATTATAATTATTTCCAATTGTAAATCTAAACCATCCAGGGTTAGATTTACAATTGGACCTTTTTAAATATACACATTTTGCATATTGATTAGTTTATATCTTCTTTTTTTTTCTACGGTAAGTGGCCAAATTTGTATGGACTGAATTCTTATAGAGTCATAGGTAACAACAACAAGATTATTGACCAATAGCGTGGCCAGCCGCGCCCAATGATGCTTAACTTCGGTGATCTAACGAGAACCGGTATATTCAACATGGTACGGCCGTTGGCATAAATTTTGAATGCCAACGGCACGCGGTGTTCCCAGGTGGTCACCCTCCCAAGTACTGACCGCGCCCAATGATGCTTAACTTCGGTGATCTAACGAGAACCGGTATATTCAGCATGGTACGGCCGTTGGCATAAATTTTGAATGCCAACGGCACGCGGTGTTCCCAGGTGGTCACCCACCCAAGTACTGACCGCGCCCAATGATGCTTGACTTCGGTGATCTAACGAGAACCGGTATATTCAGCATGGTACGGCCGTTGGCATAAATTTTGAATGCCAACGGCACGCGGTGTTCCCAGGTGGTCACCCTCCCAAGTACTGACCGCGCCCAATGATGCTTAACTTCGGTGATCTAACGAGAACCGGTATATTCAGCATGGTACGGCCGTTGGCATAAATTTTGAATGCCAACGGCACGCGGTGTTCCCAGGTGGTCACCCTCCCAAGTACTGACCGCGCCCAATGATGCTTAACTTCGGTGATCTAACGAGAACCGGTATATTCAGCATGGTACGGCCGTTGGCATAAATTTTGAATGCCAACGGCACGCGGTGTCACCCTCCCAAGTACTGACGCGCCCAGGTGGTCACCCACCCAAGTACTGACCGCGCCCAATGATGCTTAACTTCGGTGATCTAACGAGAACCGGTATATTCAGCATGGTACGGCCGTTGGCATAAATTTTGAATGCCAACGGCACGCGGTGTTCCCAGGTGGTCACCCTCCCAAGTACTGACCGCGCCCAATGATGCTTAACTTCGGTGATCTAACGAGAACCGGTATATTCAGCATGGTACGGCCGTTGGCATAAATTTTGAATGCCAACGGCACGCGGTGTTCCCAGGTGGTCACCCTCCCAAGTACTGACCGCGCCCAATGATGCTTAACTTCGGTGATCTAACGAGAACCGGTATATTCAGCGTGGTACGGCCGTTGGCTTGACGGACCTCAATCCTCTAATGCCTACTTAAGGTATTCTTCCAGAAAGGGTCCTTGCAAGACCACTTCTAGAACCATACAGGCATAAAAATCCTCTTTCAGAAGCGGCTTGGTGCCCAATTGGCTAGCGCTCTGGCCTTTGGTACCACAGGCCTCAGGTCGAGTCCCGGCGGTAATATGGATGTTTGCGGAGGTTTGGAATCCACTTTAAACCATAGGCCCTGTCTAATATGACTGTTGGGCGTAGGGCTGACAATCGTATTCCTTCAAAGAAAAACATCTCCTGTCACGAAATCTGCAAGTAGGCAGATGGCCTTGGCCCACCATGGGGCTGTTGCGCCAATGAAGAAGAAGATGAGATGGTAAGTAACTTTCCCAGCAAAACACTCGGAAAATGGACAGGTATATTTAATATCTTATAATAAACTGTACCAACAGACCCCATCATCTTTAAAATAAAAATTTTATATTAAATATAATAATTTTTATATAAAATCGAAATAATATGATTTTTTTTTTATATAAAATCGAAATTTTATGCAAGCATCTCTAAAATGAAAATGTGTACCTAAAAGCTGTGTTTCGCAGTGAATTCAGCTTCATTAAATAACGTATTCTTTTTCAGTTACATTTACACAGACGAATTGGGCAATCTGAGCGTGGACGCTGTAGCAGAGGCATACCGCGCAGCTGCGAAGTTCGGACAAAAGGGATTGATGAAGCTGTGCGAGAAGCGCTTAGCCGAATTGGAAATTACTTGCAACAACGTCTGCACCATCCTCGATCAGTTCTCCGATATAGAATCCATAAAGAAAAGGTGTCTGATTTTCCTCAAGAACAATTCTTTGTCGGTGCTTACTTCGGAAAATTTGGAAGAGGCTTCCACGAATACACTCTGGATCATGTTTGATGGAGGGTACTTTAAGCACGTAAGAAATGTTCAATCTTTTCTATGTATAAAAATTAAAAAAAAGAGAGAATTGACATGCAAACATTAATCGATTTGTTAACAATTCTATTAAAAGACAAGCCATTTGTTCCTTCAGTTGCGAGAGGAAAAAATAGAGCATTATGGGTCAGGTAACTATTTTATATTTGCGAGTAGTATGGTAAAAAAGTACTCATTTGTTAACCTGGGCCATTTAAAGGCTCGTTCCAACCGAGGCGTGAGGCGGCGACGCGTCACGCGGCAGGGAAGAAAATTTTTTCGACCCATTCACACCGAAACGTTATAAATCACTTTACGCCTAGTGAAGTTCCAGTTACCTCTACTAGATGGCAGATCTACTATTGGCTCAATCCAAGTCACATGACGCGCAAGGATTTGAGAGTTGAAAGTTGGTCAACTCGAATCGGTGGATTTCAACCGGTTTCAGGGAATGCGGTGAGGCTAGTGATTGATCAACGCTTCACGCCTCGGTGGGAACGAGCCTTAACACGTCTTTTAAAGCAGTGATCGCATACTTAAGCAGTAAAGCACACTTCTGCCAGTAAAAATAAAACTTCGATTAGATGGATTCCTATGCTAGTTATGCTAGTTACAAACATTAAATTGCTTCTATTCCATTCTAAATCCAAATTGCTTCTACCTGGGTTAACAATTAGCTGGATGCATACAAACGTAAGGCATTGATGAATGAATGTCATTAGATGAGTGCAAAAGCGCTACTGTTCCAAAAATGAGTTTTAATTGTTGTACAGTTCAACTCATCATGCTGTCAATTAGATCTGTATCTACAGTTCAGAAGGCTCAGGAATAGTTATAAATAGATTTTAATAGAAACAACATAAAACATGAATTCCAGATGTTTTTTTTAACATTTAAAAGAGTTATAAATAAACATTTAGGCTTTAAAATCATCGATTAAATTACAAGATAACAGTTTGTTCTATGTTTATGCTAATCAAGAACTTCGTAAGTTAAATTTTTATGAATCAGTTCAAAAACCTTGGAATATTTAATGCATTTAAGTAATTAATTTGCAAACATTGAATTATTTCTCTACTGACCAGATACGTTGCATATACACATTTCATGTATAAGTATGTATAATAACGTTATTTAAAGTTTTAAAATTTTCAAACATTTAACATTTTAAAAAATCTTATAAATAAAGTATTTTTACTTAGCAATAAAATCAAAACTTCCCGATATTTTAAGAGCAGTTTTTGTTTTCGTACCTAATAAATATCGATATCCTTCGAATTTGAAGTATTCCATGTTTGTACATTATATATATGAAAATATAATGTATATTATATTTTCATATATGCAGAATAGGCGCCTGCTGGGATTTGGCCACAAAAATTATTTCCGCCAAACTGCGCCAAGAAAATGATTGCGATTGTAAGTGAATTGCAAACAATACAAGAAATCCGGGTTTCGCTCAGTTGGCGTCACATAAAAATCGCCAAATCCCAATGGCCCCTATTTTGCGATTTGACCTATTTATGTATGAAAATGTCATTTATTGCATTTAATCCCGACCTTCTTGCTATGTTTTACTAAGCTTCAGTATTATTCATCTTTAGGCACCACCAATAACACGCTTGAGAAGTGCCATACGTTGGGCTTCAAGTCAGCTGGCAACGAAGGGTGATTATAAACTAGTTCGCGATCTCTTGTTAAATCCCAGACCTATACTTGGAAGATGTGGTATTGACAAGTTGAACGTACCTGAACTTCAAAAAGCACTGGCTCAGTACGAAAATTTGATAACGGCTGAAGAGGGTTTTCAGTTTTTTATGAATAGTCAGTTTTCGTCTGGTTCCAAACGTTTACCAGCTTGGTGCAAGATAGATGACTAAATCATTGCTCACCAAGATATCTAATTCGAAATGTGTTACATAGTATTTACTTTTGTATAAATGTGTGTAATTTTTACATTGTTTTACTACATTTTGTTAAGTATTTTTAAATGCGCTGTGTATTAAAATAAAACTTTTGCACTCATTTCTGTTAAATGTGCCAGCAATGGTATTTAGTGTGTTAACATTTTAAAAAATTCTTAGAACTAAAGTATTTTCACTTATCAATAAGAAAGTTAAGGAAAATTAATCTGGAAAAATATTTTTTATAAAGGTAAGTACGTTGCTCCAAACAATATAAGGAGATTGAAATTTTGAATAGATATTACGAATGGAGAAGAGTTTCGATGGTTGGTAAGTTATCCACAGGCGTGGTTAAGTTAATAAAAAAAATAAAAAAAAGTCAGATTTAAATTAAAGAAGAAAAAAAATGCTTTTTATAAAAATTTTCTCGTACGAAACGAAAAAGACCATTTGAGCATCTAAAAAAAAAAAAAAAAAAAAAAAAAACAAGTAATATGCAAAACAAAAAATTTTAAGTCAATTCCTACATTTTTTTCACTATATAGCAGAAAGTCCTTTATAAATAATTTTCATTCATTTTTTTAAAATTATGTAGCGCCATCTATTGGTAGATATATGCAGCTTAAATCTAAAAAAAAACTAAAATTAATTAATTAATTAATATTTGAAAAAACTGTACTAACATCAAGTGTCCTCCAATACAAGTTCAAAAAAAAATATATTTGAACTTGAGTGGATGTATAAAAAGTATTTTATTAACGATTGAAAATTTGAACAAGATATATGTAGGGAGAGTGTGAGCCAATGGAAGGAATTGAAAAAAAAAGGAGTAAAAATTTGAGTTTTTTGAAAAAGATATGGCATATGGTACCCTGACGGACAATAGCATAGAACACCTCTCAGACATGGGGTCTACTGAAATATTAATAAGGAATTGGGGTATTATGTCCCATTTCTCAAAAACTCGTTCCAGTTCCTAAACCATTTGTGGGGCCGGCAACTCATCTGCCTAGAATGTCCTAAACATGTTCTATTGGTTTCATTAACGGATAATATGCTGGCCAGATTATTCCTGCAATTAAATCACCGTTAAGAAACCATCGAGCACTATGAGAGCTACAATTGCCATCAATTAAAGTGAATTCATGTCCGTATGCTGCATCTCAACAGGATACAAAAGGCATAACGTCATCCCTATATTGCAACGCAGTTAAAAATTCCTTTCTAAAGATGTTCAGATCGATACGGCTATTCACTGTGAACCCAGTGGAGACTATCAACTCACCTCCCCAAAATCTGATATTTCTTGCCCAAATTCAAGATTGTTTCGACTCCCACATTCCCTCCAGATGAAAAT